TCGCAGGGCATTTCACCTGACCCTCGCAAAGTGGAAGCTATACGCAACTCCCAACCTCCATGCAATCCAAACGAAGTCCGAAGTTTTCTAGGTATGGTCAACTTTTGTGCCCGATTCATCCCAAACCTTGCGACACTAGCTAAACCATTACGAGACCTGACAAAACAGCATGTCAAGTGGAAGTGGACCAGTACTGAACAACATGCTATGGACAGTATCAAATCTGTGTTAACCAGTGAAACAACAATGGCTTATTATAATCCCTCGCACAAAATTGAAGTTCTTGTAGATGCAGGTCCAGTTGGTCTTGGTGCTATACTTGTCCAATATCCTACCACTAGAGATCACAGTGCTTCGCCACGTATTGTCAGTTATGCCAGTCGGGTATTAACTCCTGTAGAGACTCGCTATTCACAAATTGAGCGAGAAGCTCTGGCTATTGTCTGGTCATGTCATAAATTTCATCTATATTTATATGGTACCCAATTCTCTGTTATTACTGATCACAAGCCACTGGAACGTCTTTTCAACGACCCACAAAGCAAACCACCTGCTCGTATTGAACGATGGTTATTAAAGGTACAACCATATCGTTTCAATGTTCAGTATCAACCCGGTTCTGACAATCCAGCCGACTTTATGTCCCGCCATCCGTTGCCATCATCACCTACCAGCCATGAGGAGAGATGCGCTGAAGAATATGTTAATTTCGTTTCAATGTATGCTGTTCCCAAGGCCCAAGCTACAAAAGCCGATACCACACTTCAAGCTGTCATTCAAGCAGTTCAAACCAAACAGTGGCATAATGCGAAACTCCAACCTCATGTTGATCGCAAGTCGGTAGAATGTCTTTTTCACATCCAAAGAGAACTGTCAGTTAACAGTGATCAAAGTCTCCTCCTACGTGGTACCCGTATAGTCATACCAAGTAAACTTCAAAACCATGTGATAGACCTCGCACACGAAGGCCATCAAGGCATATCACGGACAAAACAACTCTTGCGTGAGAAGGTCTGGTTTCCGACCATTGATAAACAAGTGGAAGAAAAGGTTAGCTGCTGCTTAGCTTGCCAAGTCACAACAAACACAAGCAACATTGAACCATTACGTATGCCTGAAGCTAGCAAGAATCCATGGGAAAGTGTATCAATTGATTTCTGCGGCCCGTTTCCCAGTGGTGAGTACTTACTTGTATTGACAGGGACCGCGGAGACGGGGGGGCTGGGGGGGCTTTAGCCCCCCCACTTTTTTTGACAGCCAAAATTATTAAAATAGAAATCTAAATGAAACTTTCTAAATTAATTAAACCTCACCCTTTAGCCCCCCCACTCTCTAATACGCTCCGCGGGCCCTGATTGATTGATGATTACTCACGATATCCCGAAGTAGACATTATTAGAACAGTAGCCCATACAACTGTTATTCCCTGTCTTGACAAAATCTTTGCTACTCACGGAATTCCCAGAACGGTTAAATCGGACAATGGCGCCCATTTAATAGTACAGAATTCAAACAGTTTGCTAATTATCTTGGTTTCCAACATCAGCGTATAACGCCCTATTGGCCTCAGGCAAACGGAGAAGCCGAACGATTTATGAGAACGTTAAAGAAAACAGCTCGAACTGCCAAAGTTGAAGGCAGGTCTTGGAAACAAAACTTGTTTACCTTCCTCAGAAACTACCGAGCTACGTCCCATAGTGTAACCCACCAAGCTCCTGCAATCTTGCTATTCAATCGTGCCATAAATGTCAAGTTACCCCAGTCACAAACTGTAGCACCAGCTGACCCAAACCATCAACAAGCACTTGATGCATCATGTAAGTCAAGACAAAAGAACAAGGTCCACTTTGACAAACGAAACAAAGCCAAATCTTCTGAATTCAAAGTCGGTGATGCAGTCCTGCTGAGAAACTCAAAGAAAGGTAAATTGCAGACCCCTTATGAACATCAGAAATACCAAATTGTTAAGAAGAAAGAATCGATGATTACAGCGTCAAATGACAATCGCCAAGTCACTCGGAACTCATCACATTTTAAAAAGTTTAAAGAAAAGAAAGGTGAAACAGATAACCCAGGAAATAAAGAAGAACAGCCGAGCAAGCAGAACACCAATGAACGCCCGAAAAGGAAAACAAAACCACCAGCCTACTTTGGCTATAAACAGTCAGATAAGTAAAACATTTATAATGAACTTTAATTGTCTAAGAAGTCATCATAAATGAACTTTAAAATAAGACATTATAGGAAATTTCAGGTTGATATTAGTTAATCACAAACAGTTATAGTGAATGCAAAAAACTAAAGGTTTAAAGGGATGTAATGACGTAATAGTTACATCATGGTTTAGGAGCATGCGCACTTGTAAAGATAGAGGCTACACATGTGTTTATGCATCGAAGGAGTATTATATTACAACCTCTATCCCCCCTGTTATATCACATTATATGGTAGTCAATTTATCCCGGGCGTTCTGTGACCCCCGTCCGCGATCACATCAGAACATGTCAGCGGCATCCAGTAAATTACTTAAATAACATCGCCCGAAGTTCGAAGGTTTTACTTTAATTCCAAAGGAATTTTATCGCTGAAAATCGCTGAATATTTCTCATCTAAAACTTTAGAAAGTGGAAATATTTTTATTTACCATCGAAGAACAAATATGACTGATTTATAGTTTATTTTTTCTGAAAATACATTCCCATGTACATACAAATTACATCTTCTGTGAAAATTCACAAACTAACCCCTCTGAAATTTGAGGTCCTTGACGTGGCTAGAAAAAAACAACAAATGCCATCCCATCCCAATATTTACTAGAAAATGTCAGCGGATTCTTTTATTTACATATGTTTATACCAATATATATTTAATTTTCTGCATTTGTATGTGCGGGGCGTGGTTGTCTAGGCGTTGCGTGCGTTCTCACATGCTGCTAATTGGCGGTTCAAATCCCGCGGTGGCCAATCTTTTGTTTTTCGTTCTCATATTTTTTTCTCTAAGATTTTCCTAAGATTGTCTTTATACAATACCTTTTGGTTAGATTAGGATTAGAGTTCGGGTCAGGTTTATTTTTTAAGTGTGGAATTACTAGACAAAAAAGTTTAAATAGTGTGGAATTACTAGACCATACAGGGGAGTTACTACTGTATGACTGTAATTAAATTACTATTATTAAATTGCCCCTTCTTTCAAAATTTGATAAATTGTTTTTTTAGAAATGTTATTTTGCTGTCACTTCGGGCCATTTTGTAGTTCGCGCCAATTTCCATAATTCGCGCGCGAATTCGAATTGCGTAAATTAATAACAGTGTGAAATTAATTAATGCTAAATGTTGAGCCGCTGACATGATTTGATTTGATCGCGGACGGGGGTTACAGAACGACCGGGATAAATTGACTACCACATTTATATTGCGCTTTAGAGAAAAGCGAATAGCGCTTGTAGCAGATAAAGAAATTGGAAAGGGCTTTTTAAATATTGAACTTGATCCAGGTGACAGAGATTGTTTGTG